AATCATATACTGATAAGGGGTTAATATTCAGAATGCAGAGAGAACTCCTGCAACTCAACCACAAAAACAAAAACAAAAACAAACAGTTCAGAATGGGCAAAGGACTTGAATGGACATTTCTCCAAGGAAGACAGACACATGGCCAATAAGTACAGGAAAAGATGCTCAACATCACTAGTCATTAGGGAGATGCTAATCAAAGGCACAATGAGATACCACTTCACACCCATTATGATGGCTATTAATTAAAAAAAAAAAAAAAGACCTCAGAAAATAACAAATATTGTTGGGAATGTGGAGAAACTGCTGGTGGGAATGTAAAATAGTATACCCGCTATGGAAAACAGGACGGTAGATTACTCAAACAATTTTAACTAGAACTACCATATGATCCAGCAATTCTACTTCAGGGTATTTACCCAAAAGGAGTGAAAATATCTTTAAGTGATATTTGCACACCCATGGTCATAGCAGCATTATTCATAATAGCTAAAATGGGGAAGCAACCCGGGTGTCCACTGATGAACAGATAAGCAAAGTGTGGTGTATCCATACAATGGAATATTATTCTGCCTTAAAAAGGAAGGAAATCCTGGGGCACCTGGGTGGCTCAGGTCATGATGCTGGGGTCCTGGGATCAAGCCCGTGTTGGGCTCCCTGCTCAGCAGGGGAGTCTGCTTCTCCCTTTCCCTCTGCTCCTCACCTCCACCTTGTACTCACACACATACTCTCTCGCTCAAATAAATAAAATCTTAAAAAAAAAAGAGGAAATCCTGCCATTTGCAACAGTATGGATGAACTTGGAAAGCATCATGGTAAGTGAAATAAGCCAGTCACAAAAGACAAATACTATGATTCCACTTATATGAACCACCGGGAATAGCTAAATTCACAGAGACAGAGAGTAGAAAGGTGGGTGGCAGGGGCTGGGGGAGAGGGTTGGGGGAGTGGGTAGTTGGTATTTAATGGGAACAGTTTTAGGTTTGCAAGGTGGAGAGAGTTCTGGGGACGGATGGTGGTGATGGTTGCACAACAGTGTGAATACACTTAATACCACTTCAAAACGGCCGCAATGGTCAATTTTATGTTATGTGTATTCTATCACAATGTTTTTAATTGTTAAAAGAAGAGAAACAAAGCAGGCAAACAAGACACCTTTGAAGGCTAGATCTTGGCTGCCAGTCTGTGGCCTCTGAGCACAATTTTTTGAGGTTCTACCTTGAGGTTCAAGGGCAATGCAGGGAGTGCAGTCTGGAACACTGGCAGGAGCCTTGGGGGTGTGGAGGCCACTGCTCCAGGGACATCCACAAAGGAGGGGGAGCTCGAGGCCACCAGGATGTGGCCTGGGGCTGCTGCTGCCAACATTGGGGAGGGTCATCCAGACCAACCACAACCACATGTCAGTTGCCAGACCAACCACCAGTGGCCTCTGTGGCCTGGGTCAGCTGGATGCCCGAGGACTGGGGACCTGTCGTCCAACTGCTCCCCACAAGGAGCACGGTGGGTGCCCAGTAAATACAAATATCTCCATCTGACATGTATCAGCGGGTACACCTCCGAAGACTCTCGCAGCCCCCTCAAGCCTAGGTCCCAGCGGGGATAACGGCAGCCCCCCTTACTGAGTCAGCTTTGCCAGCAGGGCACGGGGACCTCCTAAGATCATCACTTTAACCCCCCAATTCTGTGAGGTAGATACCATTATTATCCCCACTTTCCAGGAAGAAAAACCGAGATTCCAAGAGATGAAGCCTTAGTTAAGCAACTTGCTCAAGGTCACCTGACCACTAAATGGTGGATGTCAGATTGAAACTTGGGTCCGTGGGACCCCCATGGGACCCTCAAACTCCACTACCAGGGCTACACTGCCTTTCAGGAAGAGCAACATGGGAAGGCAGCCACATCCAGAAGGCAGGTCTAGACAAGGCTGGGAATAGGGCACCATGAGCATGAGGCAGAGTGTCCATCTCTTTTCTTAAATGAGCAACATTTAGAAGAGCAGGAGGGTCGGTCTGGGTCAAACCATAGTGAGGCCCACAGGAGACCAGAGCATGCAGAAGCGATATTTCACGAGGCGCAGCACTTTATCGTTTGTCATCCATTTTTCTGTCCAGTCTCACGACTGAGCTAGCCGCTAACCACAGAGCACCCTGTATCAGCCCCAGTTCAGAGAACGGTAAATGAAGGCCCAGGGAGGCAGTGACTTCCTACAGCTGCCTGGCTAGCATGTGGCGTGGCTGGAACTGGACCCCTGTTCGTGTGATTCCAGATCCAAAGCTCTTCCCAGTAAAGACGGTGGTGGTGGCAGCAACACCAACATAATCGGCTCAGCTCATCAGGTGCTATGATGTCCATTTTACAGATGAAGAAACTGAGGTGCAGAGCGGCAAATAACCAGCCCAAGGTCACACAGCTGAGTAGTGCCCAAAGTCAGGATTCGAACTGGCCCTTGGCCCATGTGGTTGGACATAGCTCCACAGAGTTGGACCCTCCGAAGAGGAGCCCAGAGACCTGGAGCTTCAGGCCTGGATGCCCTCTGAAATTTTCAGGAAAGAACTGGCAGTGAGGAAATTCAAGGATAAAACTCGAGCAAAGATGAGGAGCCATTTGGAATTCTCCCAGTCGTCCAGGGGAGCTGGGGATGGGAGAGACAGGGGCTGGGAAGGTTTGGAAAGCTGGGGCACAAAGATACCAAAAGGCTAAGATGCTTCACCTTCAACCTCCCCTGTAAAAAGTAAGTAGATTTTGCTAAATGGGGGTGCCTGGCTGGCTCAGTCCATTAAGCATCTGCCTTTAGCTCAGGTCTTGATCTCTGGGTCCAGGGATCGAGCCCTGCCCTGCATTGGGCTCCCTGCTCGGTGGGGAGGCTTCTTCCCTCCCACCCCCGACTTGTGCTCACTCTCTCTTTCAAATAAATAAATAAAATCTTTACAAGAAATAAAAAAGTAAAAGAAAAAAAATTTTTTTAAATTTGTTTAAAGTTATGAAAGGCCACGTATTGTGATGATTTCATTTCTACAAAGTGTTCAGAAAAGGCAAATCTGTATAAACAGAAAGCAGATCCCTGGTTTCCAGAGGTGGTGGGGTGGGCGGGGGTGGGGGGGAAAGGAGAGTGACTAAATAGGCCTTTTTAGGGTGATGAAAATGTTCTGAAATTAGATGGTGGTGTTGGTCACATCACCATCTTAATATACTTAAGACCTTTATTTTTTTTTATTCTTATGTTAATCCCCATATACTTAAGACCTTTAAATTGTACACCTTAAAGGGGTAAATTTTGTGGTATGTGAATTATATTTCAGTAAAGCCCTTTAAAAAAAAAAAAACTTTTTCAAAAATGAAGTGCCGGGACAGTCTAACCTGGAGAAGGTCAGGGAAAGAAGAGCTGCTGACAAGCTCTTGCCATGGGCCAGGCAAGTCCTGCAGGTGTGAGCCCTGGACCAGCCCCCAGCCCCACAGGGCTACCCAAACCTTGGTTCTGCCCCTCTACTCAGCTTGCTCCACCTGCCACAGTCCCTTTGCACAGACTGTTCTCTCAGCCCAGAACCCACTTCCTCTGCTTTATGCCAGACCTTAGCTCCAGCACTGCTTTCTCAAGGAGGCTGTCCCTGACCTCCCCAACGGGTCCTGATGTCCCAGACAAAGGCCTCTGGTACAAGCCCTCCTGCCCTGTGTGTGCCCACCTGGAAAGCCCTTGTTACTCTTCGAACTTAACATGGGTGCATGTAACAAATGTCTGTCCTCTGACCCTAGACCGCAGCCTCCAGAGGCCAGGGCGTGCCTGCGCACCTGGACGTCCCCAGTGGTTAGCTTGGTGCCCAGTGGATCCCGGGCACTCCGCAAACATCTGAGAGAGGGAGGCAGAGGGACGCTGCAGGAGGCAACAGAGACACAAAGTTGGTGTGTCACCCTGCCGAGAGGAGCCCCTGACAGTGAGGCAGACAGGCCCAGAGGTAGCAAACAAGGGCGTCAGTATATCAGAGGGAGACACGGGGCACTAGGGCCGCCCCAAGGAGGCCCACCTGACTCAGCAAGGGGCAAGTGGTCAGAACAGACAGTTCTTGAGAAGAGGATACACCTGTACGGTGGGAAAAAATGCTGCATTGAAAAAAATGCATAAAAGTAATCTGCTGCTCCCTGGAACCAAGAACAAGTCACGGTATTCAGTGATGTTCCCCCAAGCAGAAGGCCCACATGCTGGGTCACCACAGAGAAAGAACTTGGCTCCACCTGAAGGCAGGCCTTTCAACACAGAGCCCTGAGTTCAGGGCACAGATCCGAGGCAGAGATGATGTAGAGACAGGGTGAGGGGCCTGAGTTCAGGGCATGGATCCAAGGTAGAGATGATGTAGAGACAGGGTGGGGGGCTTTGGGGAAGTGGGGAAGGTCACACAGACACAAAAGACAGACACTGACCATGGCTGTGGGGGGAGCTGAGCCCCCGGACAGGGGCCTCAGGGCCCACGTGCAGGTGGGGAGGGAGGGCCCATGGTCAGCCCCAGAGGGCATGCAGCTCAGAGTCTGCACGTGTCCTCCTGGCCAGCCAAGGAAGGAGACAGTGCTTGCCAGCATACACCTGAGGCCCTCCCTGGCTTCCAGAAGTCTGAGAGCTCCTCCTCCCATGTGCACTCCCACCAGCCTTCCCTGGGGTCGCCTCTGCAGTGAATTCTGTCTACTAGGACCGCCCGGTAGTTGGACGGGGTGGTCTCCGCAGTGGCCGCAGGGCTGAAAGCACCCCTGTACCTCCCCGCTTCACTTACATCTGCACACACAGCCTACGCTTCTAGGAAGCACAAGGAATGGGGCACGAGGAGCAGGAGGGGAGACCCAGGCCTCTGGCTCTTACCACCTTGCCCTCTCGCGCATTCCTGAGCCAAGGTGGGGAACCCTATCTGTCCGTCGTGCCAGTGGCCCGGTGGGTTGGTTCTAGGGGCCCCAAGCAGTGTCCTCTGCCCTGCCCCACGGTGGGCAGTGGCCTCTGCCATCCCATCCTCCCCAGGTACCTGGTTCTGCAGCTGGTTGGATGCGGCTTGCTGGTCACTGTCTTGGAGGGCCAGCCCCTCCTGCAGCCGGGCTTTCTCTTCCTGCAGCTGGGACATGGTCACCACCATCCTATGTACCATGGGGGCCGCACCCGGCCGCCCCGCCAGGCTCGAGCACCTCCCGCTGCCAAAGAGCCGCCCACCTATGAGCAAAGTAGTGGCCAATCAGCAGGACAGCCAAGGACCCACCCTGGCTGAGGAGAGGGGGCCCGTCGGGGCAGGGCAGACCATCGGGGATGGGGCGGGGATGCAAGCCGATGGGCCGGAGGCCGGGGGCTGCAGGAGCATGGGTGAGCCAGGGGCTCCAGGGCCTCCCCTAGAGGAAGCCACGCCCGTGGGCAGCTTCTGGGAGACAGGATCGCCTGGATCAGGACTTAGGAAAGCAACTTTCACCCTATACCCCTCAAAGTGTGCGTCCTAGGTCTGACGGGCCATCCCCTCTCCACGGCCAGGCTGCAAGGAACCGCAGCTGAGAAAGACACGGCTTCTGGCAACAGGTGATGAAGAGTCTGGGGTTCTCTCCCCAGAAAACACTCTTCTTGGGAGAATATGATTTCTTTAAACCCCAACCCCCCTCTAGAGCACAGAAGAGAGGCAGAGGCTCCCCAGTCTGTCCTCTGACCTCCGCAGGGAGTGATACCTGCACACAGAGAAGGGGTGAGGGGAGGGTGTGTGGGCACAAGGGACAGCGAGACCAGGACACATGGACACAGACAGAGCATGTGAGCAGGAACACAGCCAGGCCCGCTCTGGGCTGACACCTGCACTGAGCACAGGGACTGCACAGGCACGAGGAAGAGATAAATACTGAGGGGGAGGGGGGCCTCCGCCTGAGTCCTCCTCCTGCCACGGCCTTCCACTGTCCTGTCACCAGGAGGAGAGAAACAGACAGACGCACGGAAGGACAAAGACACAGAATCAAGGGCCATGACCTGCTAATAGGGCCTGGGATGTATGTCATAGCTTGCTTGGAGGACACCAAGAAGGGTCACCGTCTCGGCGAGGAGCTGGGGGTGTGCGGAAGTGGGGCAGAGGAGAGGCGGTAAGGGCAGGAGATTTGCCTCTCCCCTCGGGTAGCTCAAACGGAGACCTGGCCAAAGCCCCGGGAGGCAGAAAGAAGCGTCCAAGAGTTTAGTGTGACAAGTGGCATCTGTTGACCCCAGGCCTCCACTCTGAGAGCAGCAGGGCTTCTGGGCTCCCCCACACTATACCCCGGGAGCCACAGCTGAGAGGCAGGACTCCCAGGGGCTCTGCGTCTGAAGTCACACCCCCTACTGGCAGCTTCCACCCACCAGGAGGGGGCAGATGTGCTCACTGAGACTTCAGAGAGGCCAAAATAGACCTTCTGGGCTGGGCTGGATGTCTCAGCCCTGTCCCCAGGAGGGTGGGCCCTGAGAAGTCCCAGGTCCCGCTCTCCAGAGGGCAGGCGAAGCACACACAGGCTGGCTTTTCCCTTTCTCCCAGTCCCTTGCAAGAGCTGCAGCTCGAGACCCTCTGGGAAGCCAGAGCAGGAGCATGGCCAGCTGGCTCGTGGCCCCGGCCGTGGGGCCTGCATGGGACACAGCAGGTGTATCACACGCAGTTGGCCAAGCTTCTGCTCCCTGTTCTAGAGAGAGTGAGGTCAGATGGATGCTTCCAGGCCTGCACACGGGGCTGCCATGAGCAGCATGTGACCAGCATGGCCCTCAGCCCTCTGCAAACTGCCATGGTGTGGTAGGGAACACACTAGACTCCCGGTCCCAAGAGCTAGTTCTGCCACCTACGAGATGGGAGGCTGGGGCCCCTGGGGTCCTCCTTTGCGAAATGGGGACACTGGTCCTTGCCCACGGAGGCAACCTTGGAAAAGGAGCCTGGAATCCATGAGGGATGCACAGAAGTGTCACCCAACAGGCCGCAGGACTCGGATGAGACATGGAATCATTTTTCTCATCCAGGATACTGAGAAGGTTCGGAGACCCCTGGAGCCCACAGGGGGCTTCGTCCTGACCTCAGCACAGGGCCACAGCCAGGGGAGCTGAAACGGGGCCTGGAGAGCACTTGCCAGGGGAGAAAAGACCTTCAAGGAGCTAAGGGAGGTCGGAGGAGGAGGGAGAGGTGAGATCAAAGGGGCACTTAGGGACGCGGGACAGAAGGGGTCTTGGCGCCAAGAAGGCTGCACGCCCCTCTTAGTGAGCCAGTTGTCAGTGCAAGTCATCAAAAGAGAGTGTGCCTCAGAGACCCTGCCTGCACACCGCCCCTCACGGTCACTCAGGCGCGGGGACACTGAGGTCCGGCTCTCAGTCCCCACTCTTCACGGGAGCTGCTCTCTCTCTCTCTTCTCCACAAATTAGGAGATCCAACTTGACTGGCTGGACGGTGCACCCCTTCCCAAGGCCCATCTGCCCACACCTCGGCCAGACCCCGGCACCTGCCCCTGAACACCAGACAGGCAACCGCGGCTCTGGGACAACCCCAGAGAAGGCAATGGCTCCTTCCACCCCACAGGGGGTTCAGAACGACCAATCCACCCCGCTGACGAGAGGAAGAAAGCAAGAGAAAGCTTTCTTTCCACACCTTCTTGGCCGTCCCCTGGGGCTCCTTGAGGATGCTTTTTCCCAATTACTGCTGCGCTCGGGCTTCCCGCTAGGGGACCCCACAAAGGGGGCCCGTGGACTCTTCCAGAACCAGTCATCCTGGACAGAGAAGAAGGGAGCCACCAGCTCCTCTATCCTGGCCTTGGGACAGCAGGGGACCCACAGCTAAGGGGGATGGGTTCAGGCCTCTCTCGGCAGGCTCTCTGAGGCTGCTACCCTTGGCCTGCTTTAGACGGGCACTGGGGAAAAGACAAAAAGCAGGGAAATTCAACCCCAGCCCACACGGGCCTCTCATCACTGGGTTGGGCCCTGGTGGCACCGGGAGGGGGGCATCCCTGGAGTAGGGGCGGGCGGGCTGGGGTCTCTGAGTTGAGCGGCCAGGTGGCCAGGATTTGGCTGGGCCACCTCCAGGTGAAGCGGAGAGCATAGGGGGATGGCTCCAACGCCACAGGAGCCCCCCTCCAGGGCCAGCTTCAGCGGGGGCTGTTCCAGGTTGGCGGGCGGGCCTGCTTTACCTGTTTTCTCTACATTCATGGTGCCACCAGCTTCCTGGGCCTCCCGGTCCCGCCTGGGGGCCGGCGCCTGCCTCTTCGGGAGCTTCTCCTCTTTCGTCCCCTGACTCTTGTTCTCGCACCCCTTGTCCAGGAGGGCTTGCTGCCAAGACACAACCAGAATCCTCACGTGAAGGGGACTGCAGAAGGGAGGGCACCCCTCCTGAGCCTGAGGATACTGTGCTCCTGGAGCTGGTGAGCACCCCGGGCCCAGGGATCCATCACTCGCTGTGTGAGTGGGTGAGGACAATGAGGCCTGGGGTCTGGAAGAAATGTGCCCAGATGCCACGACAAGACAGTGGCAGCGTATTTTCTGGGCCCCCGCTGGCAGCCAGCCATCTGCACCCATGAAGAAAGTTCTCAGGCACTTAGACGTTCTCACGTGAAACTCACTGGGCTATCCCTGCGGGGCTCTGGGGGGCATGAGCCGCCAGGCAGCAACCTGCTTGCCTCAGGCCCATGGCCCCCCCATTCACAGGGCTGTCCAGCCCCACCAGGCACAATCCCCCCCCAGGATGTCAGCTGCCCCCACCTACAGACGGCACCAGCTTGGGACTGCCAAGAGGGGGGCACATAGATCCAAACGAGCAGGGGAAGGCCATGCCCCCCCATCTCCTGGTCAAGGAGAAACCGAGGCAAAGAAGGCTGAGGTAGAATAGGCCACCGGACAGGCAGGGAGAGAGGCGGGGAGGGACAGAAAGAATCATCCAGAGATGATGCCGCTCACGTAGAAAGACATCCAAAGCAAGCCGCAGAACCACATGGATAGTGTAATCCCATCTGATGATAAGACAAATAAAACAGGCCTCAAAAAAAAAAAAAGTCTGGGGGACTGTATAGACAATGGTTCTCTCTGGGAGGTCAGGTGATGCAGCAGCTAGGAGGAGAAACGTGCATCATTTAAACTTTTGGGCGAGTAAAAAGAAACTTAACCATGAGAATGTGGGAAGAAGGGAAAGGAGCCTTCATATTTCATTTTGAACCTTTTCTCGGCATTTGTATTTTCAGGCTTATAAGCATCTACAGTGTTTTGGTTTATTTTTTAATGTCAATGGAAATTATCTGGGAAGGGGAGTATAAACATATTTTATTTTATTTTATTTAAGTTTTATTTAAGTAATCTCTACACCCAACATGGGGCTCGAACTCACGACCCAGAGATCCAGAGTCGCATGCTCTTCTGACTGAGCCAGCCAGGTACCCCTACAGACACTTTTTTGCGTGTCTTTGTGCCTTCTGTATTTGAAACAAAAGACAAATGCTCTGTTTAAAAGAATGCTCTGAGAAAGGGGAACCCTTTTACACTGCTGGTGGGACTGCAAGCTGGTGTAGCCACTCTGGAAAAACAGTATGGAGATTCCTTAAGAAGTTGAAAATAGAGCTACCCTACGACCCAGCAATTGCACTACTGGGTATTTACCCCAAAGATACAAATGTAGTGATCTGAACGGGCACATGCACCCCAACGTTTATAGCAGCAATGTCCACAATAGCCAAACTGTGGAAAGAGCCTAGATGTCCATCAACAGATGAACGGATAAAGAAGATGTGGTATATATACACAATGGAATATTATGCAGCCATCAAAAAAACCCAAAATCTTGCCATTTGCAACCGTGGATGGAACTAGAGGGTATTATGCTAAGTGAAATAAGTCAATTAGAGAAAGATAATTATCATATGATCTCACTGACATGAGGAATTTGGGAAACAAGGCAGAGGATCATAGGGGAAGGGAGGGAAAAATAAAATAAGACAAAGTCAGAGAGGGAGACAAACCATAAGAGACTCTTAACTACAGGAAACAAACTGAGGGTTGCTGGAGGGGACAGGGGCGGGGGAAATGGGGTCACTGGGTGACGGGCATGAAGGAGGGCACGTGATGTGATGAGCACTGGGTGTTACATACAACCGATGAATCACTGACCTCTACCTCTGAAACTAATAATACACTGTACGTTAATTAATTGAATGTAAATAAAAATTAAAAAAAAAAGAAAACAAAATAAAAGAACGCTCTGAGTCTGGAGTCAGAAAGCACCGGGTGTGAAGGCCGGCTGGGCCTCGTGCGTGCTGTGTGGTTCCGGGCAAGTTACTGTCCTTCCCTGAAGCTTCATTTTCCCCATTCCTAAAATAGAAATGTTACCAGCCACCTGATGCCCCTGATGTGAAGGGAAACTGCAGGAACTTGTGCAAAGTTCTCCAAGTGGCTGGTGCACAGTAAGAACCAGATGTCAGGTTAGCATAATATTCTTTCTGTACTTTTCCATGTTGTTGTTTTTATTATGGCTTTTGTAACCCCAAATCCAACAAACAGAGAAAAGAAAGAGGAAAGCCACATCAGCAGCCTCGTTCACCATGTCGGACTCCCTCCCTCTCTCTCTCTTGCTCTCTCTCTCTCTCTCCTCTCTCTCTCTCTCTCTCGACCTCATGTTCTACTTGAGAAGGAAGGGTGGTGAGCACAATCTCTCGTATGTAGGAAAACTCCTCCCCCCGACTTTATTTGGCCCGCCCCCCCCCCCCCCCCCCCCGCCGACCAACTGCCACACCATCCCGAGCAGGCTTGTCACCGGTGGTGGCAATGACAGCAGCTGGGAGTTTCCAATTGCCACCAGAGCAAAGGTTACACTATTTCTGGCCCGTTGGCCAAGCCACAGGAAGGGAACCGGGGGGCGGGGGGTGTGCCGGGGGTGTTGGGAATTTCTGCAGCACCTCCAGAGGGAGCATGTCAGGTTTTAACTACTTGAGAGGCTGGGGCAGGGAGGTGGTTCCCTAAGCCTACCAGGTCACCCCACAGTGCCTGGGTCCCTCCTTCAGCCCCACAGCCCTGACCTCGAAGCACCTATAAACATAATGGAGCTTTGTGAGGGCCCAGAAGGACACCAACATGGAAACTGGTTGCTGACAGGAGCTTCTCAGAGATTCTCAGCAGATCTGCTGACCCCAGGACTCGGCAGCAACCACAACCCAACACCCCATAATCAAAATTCAAGAAGAGAGCCACCGCCCAGCTCAAGGCAGCTGGTCTCTGACCACCTCCTGATTTAACTACCAATGGCTCAAGTCAGAGAAAAAAAAAAGGGTTCTCTGGTTTCTTTAACTGTTCCCACACCAGACCTGCTTTTCTTGCAGACCCTAAGATAAAAGAAGGACCGTTTGGTTCAGTTTGCACATGAACCACACAAGAAGGGCCGAGAAAAGCCTTGGAGCCCAAGACGGTCTCTGAAGCAACATGAAACCCTGGGCCATGTTCAGATCAGGACTCGGGGCCGCACGCCGCCTGGGCTCAGGACTTCCATCTGCATGAGGGAGGATATGCCCTCAAAGGGCACCTGGGTTTCCTGCACTCCATCCTGCCCCCCATTTGCCCATGTCCCTTCAATATGAGCCCTCTCCTGTACCATCCTTCTTGGGCAGGGAGCCTTCGCAACACAACACCCCCAAATAACTCTGGTCCTTCATCCAGACTGTCAGGTCTATTTCTCTGCTTCGGTATGGGCCAGGACCGGGCACAGACACACTCTGTAAACATCTGTTAACAAATGTATTCATTTAAAAAGTACAGCGCCTGGACTATCCTGACATTGTTCCAAGTCATAGCTGCGTGGATGCGTAGATATTTAAGGAGCTCACTGCAATCAGAAATGATACAGAGGACTGGTTAGATAATTTATGGTAAACCCTGAAGTAGAATATTTTGCAGCAGTTTAAAAGAATGAGGGAATTCTCTGTATATTGACATGCATGAAGATATCACAAAGACCTACTATTGAGGGAAAGAGCTAGTCACAGAACAGTATGTACAAATAAATAATAAAGTTGTATAAATATAATTAAGTGGTTACATAGGAAAAATACATAAGCACCCAACTCTTAATAGTGGATTTCTCCAAGATACAGGACTATAGGAGATATTCGTTTCTAAATATTACATCCCTGTGTGAATTCTTTACACCATATGTTAGAAAGCTCGTCATGTGTAGCTATTCAGATCCCGGCTTGCTGTGTGACCAGTAGCAAGTTACTTAACCTCTCTGAGCCTCCATTACTTCATCCATACCACTCAGATAAAACAGTAACTGTGTCTTGAGATTGTTGAGTACTGATGTGAGATATATCACATAGTACCAGTGCCTGGTAGAAAGTCCGTGTCCAATAAATAGTGGTTATTATTACTATCACTATGTATTATCTCTGTAACCAAATACACAAATATACGTAAAATTTGTCTTTTGAAAATCACTTGGTGATAACTGCAAGAGAAAAGAACCCAAGTTTTGGCAAAAATCCTGTCTTGCTCTGGATTCCCACGTCAAATAGGAAATACAAGTAGTGCCCCACGGATAAACATGCTCGGGTGGGGATTAACAGCTACCCCCAAACCTGCCTGTTTTCCTACTAGCTTCTCAGCGAAGGTCCCACATTTCTCACTTTAACACCTCAGCCAGGGTGTGGCTGAAAAGTTTCTGTCATCTCCTGTGAGATTTTCCCCCGAGATAACGTAATAAAGCAAACTGCTCCATCCACGCAGGCTCAGGGCGGATGTGCTGTGAGGACCTCAGCAAAGAGACGCACGGCAGGTCCCCGGCTAGCTCCCAGGGCTTCCTTCCCCAGACAGCCTGCTGGAGACCCAGCTGCAAAAGCTCCGAGAGCGAAGGCCCACCAGCCTGGCTCGGCCCGTCACCTTTCTGAAGGCCCCAGAGCTTACCTGCACGGTCAGGTAGAGCCTGTGGGGGCTCCCAGGGCCAGCCCAGTCCACGCTGAGGGCTCGGCACTGAGCGAGGGCCGGGCGAGCTGCACTTCGGGCACCGGAGTCCTCGTCACTGCTGACCGGGGTGTCTTTTCCACGCCCTGTCCCAGGACAGAGAATACAGGTAAGATGCTAGGCCCCTGGCTGAAGGCTGCTGGCCAGGACCCCTGGCTAGGGCCGCCGCTGAGCTCTGCTTCCCCACAGTCGGGGCCGGCCCAGGCGCAGCCAGGAGGGACTCACACGCCCTCACACGCCTGACCTACGCGGAGGGAAGGCCTGGCACCAGGCAGGGGCTGTGCTCCTTTCTTCCCAAAAGCCACCCCGAGCTTCTCTTTAGCAAGGCACCCAAGGCCTCTGGGGCGGGGGGGTGCTCTCCACCCTCCACAGTGGCTTTCGGGGCTGGCACTTGCTCATGAACACCCTCTCCAGAGAGCAGCAAAGGGAAGCCGATGCGAACCGGGCTGCGCTCATCTTCCCCGGAGGTGCACCCCAGGCCCGTGGCTTTATTACCAAGGCCGCCTCTAGGTGGCAATTTCTCCCCTGCCTTCCTAAAGGCCAACTCCTGCTTCCCGCAGCCTCCAAAAGCATATTCAGGCCCGGCTAAAGCACATCCCCTCGAGTCTCTGACACAGTGCCTCCCTCACCGGCTGGGCCAGAGAGCTGACTGTGGTATGGCTACCCCATGTACCCCATCCCAACCCCCCACCAGGGCCTTACTGCTCTGCCCGATCCTCAGTTTCCTTGTCAATAATATGGGGACAAGGAACCAAGCTCAGAGTCCTGGGGCGAGGGTTACATGGAATGACACACATAACATGCTCACTCTGCACCAGGCACACAGAAAGTGGCCACGGATGCAGGCCCTTAGGGCCATAACCGCGGAGGGTTAATAACGTGCCCAGGGTCACACTGAGCCAGTATTGCGATCCCATGGGCTAACTCACCCTCTGCTTGCCTATCCCTCTGAAGGCAGAGGTAAGAGTCGGGGTGGGGGCGGAGGGGCCGGGGTGACCAAGCTGGCTGACACCCTACTCAGTGTTAGGCACTCTGCTTAGCATTTCACCCACGGGATTTCATTTGACCTTTGTCTTAAATTGTAAAAGTGGATTAGTCTGTATGGTCATATAATCTTCATAATACTCACTTAATAGATCAATATGTGTGCATGCCCACATACACAAGATCAGAAGGAACTATAAAAAATGCCCATTAAGAAGCTTATGGGTGATTTTTATTTTCTTTTTTATACTTTTCAGTGTTTTTTCTTTTGAGTGGTTTTTTTTTTTTAGTTTTTTTAAAAATTTTTTTAGTTTTTTAGTTTTTAGTTTTTTGGTTTTTTTTGTTTTCCAAAGGAATGTGTTTTTGTCTCTTACTTGTTTCTTTCGCTTTTCTCTCCCTTTCTTTTTACCAAAAAAGCAATACTCATTCATATTACATTTGTAATCCTTAGGAAAACCTTGTGGGGTAGAGACCATCTTCATCCCCTTCCAGACAATTGAGGCTACCTGACCCAAAAGCCCAAGCTTTTCCCAGAGACCCCAGGGCCATCCCCAGGCTCACTGTCCCCTGCAGAGAGACTTTGGAGGGTATCATTCCGGCGGCCACCAGTGGCACAAATGTGGTGGGAGAGAGGGGACTGAACAGGAGTTTGCTGTGTGGCCTCTCTAGGCCTCAGTTTCCCCTTTTGTACCTGGGGGTGGGGGCTTGGATCTGATGGCCCAGAGGGACTCTGCTAGCTGAGACAGGCTGGTAATCTAAACCCCTTTCTCTGTAGGTCAGGAATAACAGACAGTAAGCCCCTCAAGACATCTTGACTGAAGGCCCCTCTCTCCCTCCACACTTCCAGGAAGACTTGCCCAAGCCCAGCTCAGGAGACAGTCATGGGGCAGCTCCCCAGACCCGAAGATCCAGCCAGCACCAGAAATCAGATGTGCCGCTCACTTCTTGGCGTGTGAGGTACCAGGGGACATGACCCAGAAAGGAGAGCTGGTGTTGACAGCTCCCCCAGGGGGCCAACGAGGGGGGGGGCGCACTCGGGGACTCCTTCAGTGTCCACCTGCTGTCGGGGCCCCTACAGGAGCCGCCCTGGATGGCACCTGAAACCGAGCGCAGGGCACCCAAACCCGGCCGGGCTACGCTCCGGGGCGGCCTCGGTCGGCCCCTCGCGCCTCCGGCGGGCCGGCCGGCCGCGATCAGGTGTCAGCGCCGCGCAGGGCACCGGGCGGCCCCTTCACCTACCTTGTTTACCAGCCGCCGCAGAAACCGGAGCGAGAGCGCGAGCGCTCGGCCAGGGACCAAGGACGCGCCGCCCGCGGAGCGCCCCCCGCCCGGCCGGGTGGAGATCGCGTGGTTTGGGCGGCGTTGGCCCCCTGCTCCAGCGACCGCGTTGAAGTTTAACTCGGCGTCCAGGACCTCTCTTTACGGGCGGGCGCGGGGCAGGAGCGCCAGCGAGATTGACACCCCGACTGCGACTCCGCGCCGGCCCGCGGGCTGCCCGGCACCCTGTAATTACCTGACAGCTCTGACTGAGCCTAGGAACTTGCGAGAAAGCCCGGCCTCATCTCTGCTATCTGGAGGAAGGAAGGGAAATAAAGAGGCATTTTAAAAATGCGGACTCACCAGTTCTCAACCTCCCCGGGCCGGTGTATGGGAAAGGGCGGGCGGCCGGGCTGGCGGGGGCGGGGCGAGCCATCCCCGGCTCGGGCTCCCCGGCCCGGCCCACTCTCCACAGGCCGCGCAGCGAGGGCGTGGCTCCCAGGTTCCACGGCCGGCGAGACGGGACCATGGCCCGGGGCTCAGCGGCCTCCTCGGGGCGCCGGGCGGCCTGCGGACACAACAGGGGAGGCGAGGCTGAGCCGGCTGCCCGGCACCTGGGGGGAACCCATCAGAGCCCGCCTGCAACAGGGCCACCTGTTACCCCCAACTCCAATGCCACCTCCACCCGCCCCCCCCCCCCCCCCCCCGCCCCGCAAAGATCCCTGGGCTTGCGGGATGAAACAGAGCCCGTCATCATTTCAGGGTGCTTTGTCCCAAGTAAGGAGGCTCAAAAGTGGGTGAGGAGCCCATCAGGTGTGTCTGCAGCACACTGTGGACACCTCACATCTCAGCTCCTCCGCTGGAAGCCTGGCAGCCTGAAGACACGCCAGGTCACAGCCCCTCACGGAGGTAGCCCGAGTCAACCGCATCTCCATAAATCTAATCAGAAGGGGCTGACTGTGGCCAGTGACAAGATAGTCTTGTATATATCAAATTCTCTTAAAGTCCACTCATTCTATTCAAGGAGCCTTCACTCTGTGCCTACAACTTGGCAGGCAGTAAGATACAACGATTCATTGCTTCTTCATCTAATAATTATTTATCTGGTATCTGCTGTGTGCCAGGCACCTGCCAGGGGTCCTCTTTGATCAGGAGAGATGGGGCCTCAAAGCTCCCTGTCAGGAGGGAGGTAAGCACTTCAGCAAACCTTCACCATCCGAATAGGATGCAGGGAGGCACCAGGTGGTATGGGAGAAGGGGATGGGGGTGGGGAGCACCGGTCTGAATAGAAAGGCCCATAGGAGGGCACCTGGGTAGTGCAGTGGGTTAGGCATCTGACTCTTGGTTTTGGGTCATGTCGTGATCTCAGGGTCATGAGACTGAACCCCGCATGAGGCTCCACACTTAGCATAGAGTCTGCTTGAGATTTTCTCCCCCTCTCCCTCTGCCCCTCCTGTTTGTCTCTCTTTCTCTAAAACAAATTTAAAAATATTTAAAAAGAAACAAAGCCGCATAGGTCACTCATGAACTGAGCAGATGAATAGAACAGACTTTAAGCATTCCCTACACGAGTCTTTATTGAATACCTATTGTGTGTAAAGCAGCTGTGAGGGCATTTAAAGTACCCAGCTACAGTCCCAGACTCAGACGGTGATGCAGAAGAAGCCAAGTCAGCTCAGAGAGGTGATGTGGAATTTGCTTTTGGTTTTAAAATGGAGTTCGAGGCACCGAAGAACTTCCTAACGGTGTTACCTGGACTGCAAATTGCTTTCTACCAGACAATGAAGATTACCTATTTGAACGGTGTCCACTCCCCTGACCCTCTTGGCTCTCCAGGGTGGGGCCCACAGCACATTCATCGGTGCAGCCCCCTCCCACCCAGCCTGGTACTGGAACAACACCCACACCAGACCCCTGGCAATGGCCTGACAGGTGAATACCTTGAAATACATGCACACACCGGCCCGGGCTGAAGCCTGGCAAAGAGCAGGGCTGGGGACTCAGAGCTGGGAGGCTAACGAGGGTCCCAGGACCACAGGTGAGGATATAATCACCAAAGGCACCCAAGCACGGAGCTCACACTGGGTGGTAAGGAAAGCTGGAGAAGGACGGTCCGAGGTGGCAACAACACCAGGCAACAACATGACAGGCTGGTTGGAGGGGGGTGGGAGGAGAGGATGGTCAGTTCCCAGCGAGCAATGCCATGGGGAGGCCAAACTGGAAGAAAGCCCTAGGGGCTTTGGAAGGGAGCCCATCAAAGGAGCCGGGCAGAGGGCAGACCTGGGTAGGCCCAAGAGGTGGGCAGGGCTAAAGGAAGTGGCCGCTTCCTTCTCCGTGGGGAAGTTTGGCTTGGCTGAGGAGGGGAGGCTGAACTGAGAGGATGTGGTATGTAGAACAGGAGGCATCTGAGCTTGCTGGGTGGACAGGGCCAGTAATGACTGAAGCAGGGAGAGGCAAAAGAAGTCAGAGTGCAGGGATGGGTAGCGGAAGATCTGGTGACCGCAGTTCACACAGCTGAGCCCTGGAAGAATGCCAGGCTTACTGGCTAGGGACTTGTGCTCTCTGCCTTCCCTCACTGAGGAAGACAACTTGGAGGAGGCTCCTGGGTACAGTGCTACTGGACTGTGGGCCAAAGGATGGGGCAGAAGCTAATCCAAGTATGGGGGCCAGCTCCACTGAGGAAATGAAGATGGACCAGTGTGGAGCAGAAGGAACCAGGGGGAACAGCCAGATGCCCTTTTCCCCAGGTTGCTTGGCACGGAGCTGGGCACACGACCAACCCCAAGGACCAGCGGCCTACTGGGGCAAAGAGGGAGAGAGACAGGCTCCACCTGCATGCCAAGCTGCTGGAAAGGCAAGGGGCATTGAAGGTCGATTCCATGTTTGAGAGAGAAGACTGTTAAAGTGATCAGCTAAGTCTGAGGGACCGGGACAGGAGGAGACAATACTTCTGTGACTTCGTGGAAGGGAAGTTGGAGAGGCAGCCAGGAAGATGGCAGGAAGAAAGAGGAAGGGTGTGTGCAAGATCCTGAAGAGGAAAAAGCAGCTGAATTTAGCAGCCAGTAGGGTGGGAAGGTCAAAAGTATCCAGGACTCAAATGAGCCCAAGGCTGGGGCTTCTGCCAACCTGGGACTTACAGGGTGGGACAATGGGGACGTGGAGTGGAGTGGCTATGACCAAAAGCTGGTTCAGACCCAGCTCTGCCACTTACTGGATGTGTGACCTTGGGAACTTTGCCTCTCTGTGCCTCATTATCTCCATCTGAAAATGGGGAGAACTGCACCTTATAGGGTTGGCATAAGAATTAGACAACGCATATGTAAAGTGTTCAGTGCCGGTATATGCTGGCATATACAAGGAACTCAGAATTTTTATTTTTCAGTGATCTCCCTCCCTCCAGTGGTGGGTGAGTGCCGAGGCGCTGGCTTGGAGAGAGGGACAGATTTGCCCCTCTTTGTCTAGGTCAAGGCAATAGAGCTGCAGTCCCCGCTCTCCCCCAGACCAGGGATACTGCAATGATTGAGGACCGGATTTGACAAGTGCCCAGATACTGCTGCTGGGGAGGGCTTAGTCTCCCTGGGAGAGAAGGTCAGGGAGGTTGGACAGGGGCTAGGCCCTCCACTGCACACAGTCACAGGTCCTGGGTCTTCCAGGACAACCCAGACTTCAAAAACCTCCGCTCCCATAAGAACAGCAGAACTCATCATCCTAAGTCTCTAAAGTCCAGTAACTGCAAATACAGGGCCCCATTCTGAGGCTGCATTCCTTGCCAACGACTCTCCCCGGCCAAGGAGACGTCTACTTTATCAAGGGCATGGGAAGTGCGCCTGGGCAAGGAGAGGTGCACCCAGCCTCATGGCCCAGGGAAGGTGAAAGGTCAGGGACAGCAGCGACCCACAACCTTGAGACAGATATGCTGGGGAGTGGGGGAGTACTTGAGAATTTAAATACAGCTTTCTCTTTCAAATCTCCCAGGACCAGGCCCTTAACTGCACCAGAGTTCTGCTCTAACTCCCAACAGGGGGTTGAAGGAGGTGGCTTCTGGCTTGCCCTCCCTGCAGGGATCCCCCAGGCTGCTGCTGTCGCCGGCTCTATTTCCTACTGCCCAGGAGGGCACCGGCCCAGGCCCTCCTTCCAACCTCAGGGCCGGCCTACCCTCCCCTGCCCTGCGAGGGGGAAAACGAACTGCCCAGGGAACGTACGTGGTGAGAGGGCTCGAAACTGCAGCCTCCAAGGGATCCCGGCGGGGGGGGGAGGTGCGCGGGGTGCGGGGGGAGGTGCGCGGGGTCGGGGGGAATCTCTGCAAGGGGAGGGGGAGGCCCTAACGGACACGCGGTTCCCCGGGTCGGTTCCGCCTCTCCCGGGCCAAAGAGATCGGAACGGGGGTCCGCAGGCTGCTGCGACCCCAGGGGACGTGCCGCCCCAAGCCGTGCTGCGGGTAAGGTCCTCGGCTCCGGCTGGACGGCGCGGGGGGCGGCGGGCGACCGCGCAGGGCTGCTTCTCCGGGGCCCGGCCTTCCGCGCGCCCCGCAGCGGGTCCGGGCAGGGGAGGGGGTCCTGCGGGCAGGGCGGGCCCGGACGCGGCACCGGGAACGGCGGGGCCGGACGGACCCCGAGAGCCTAGCCCACCCCCCCGCCCGGGTCTCCGACTCACCGGCCTGGCGGAGGCAGGATCCCCGGCGTCGCCGCAGAGCCCGGGGCTCGGCCCGACCCGGCCCGCCGGCGGGAGGCAGCTCCACGCCGCCGCCTCCTCGGCCCGCCCCGCTCCCGCCCCTCCCGCACACTTTCCACAGGAAATGATTAACTCGGGCCGCGGCGCGTTCCCATGGCAACGGGCTCCTGCCCGGGCGGGGGGCGGCGGCGCGCGCGCGCACTCTCCCGCGCGCGCTCACACTCACACGCGGGGCCGCCCACACCTTGGCCTCCCCGCTCGCCCAGACGTTCCCGCTGGACCCCAGGGGCCCCACGTCCCGCGCACGCTGGTGCACACGTGCGCGCACACCCATCGGTGCACACACAGCGTCATACGTGCTCGCGCTTTCGTGTATGGGCTCTCGCACGCCGGTGCACACGTCCCTCACACATGCCTTCACACATGCTCTAGTCCGCACACACGAACACATGCAGTGTTCACACACGTGCCACGCCGGTCCTACATACGTGCTTTTGCACTTAAACCTACACTCCGACGCGCACATCCGCTAACCCTGGTACAGAACTTTCGCGCACGTTCGTTACTCCTCACACACACCCTTCTCGCAGACTGTCCTTCACACGCTCTCACACACGAGCTCGTTTTCTTGACCTTCTAACACACGCTTTCACACACGCTCTCACACACTCTAGATGGCACGTGTATACACGCCCACATTCTCACACACTTCACACATGCACACACGGTATCGTCGGGCACTCAGACTCACACGTGCGTCTCCACACGTGGTCCGCGTGCAGTGGTTCGCGTGTTTGTTGGTGCACACATGCACTTGCTCTCCCTCGCACACACGCTACACCTCGTTCTCTGACACTCTAGTATACACATCCTTTGAAACCCAAGCCCACGCTTTCGCTCACGCTCTCTCACACTCCGGGTAGCATGCATAGACACATGCGTGTCACACGTTATCACTCATGTTTACACACACACTCTCTCTCTCTCTCTCTAGCTCTAGTAGGAATACACAGGCCCGATTGCCTCCCCAGCCTCGGCACCACCCCGGAATTAACATCTTCCAGGGCTTAGGGTTTTTTAAGGTAAAATATTCCTTTAAGCTCCAGGGAAAACATGTCCAGAGCGCAACCACTCAGGAGCAGGCAGCAGCTCCCAGCCCAGAAGTCCCTCCTTGGGGGACGTCCCTGAAGAGGCACAGGGGAGGCAGGGGAGCCGGCCAGCCAAGGAGAGACAGCTGACCCAGAGGAGCCACTCTGTTCTTTGTCTCCCACACAGAGGCAGCATTTTACTCCAGAGCCTGCAGCCATCGTCCCCTCCTGGGTGCAGGAGGAGGAGAAAGCAGCTCAGAAGCCAGCCCAGTGCAGGCTGATGGTTCCACAGATAGTCCGAGAAGGATGGGCACTTGACTCTTCCCTGCGTCGCAGAGAATGGCCCAAGAGGTGCAAGGAGGGGACTGGAGGGGGACATGCAGATCAACGAGGGTTCTATCTCCTGTCTCTGCCCAGGCACTGGGCTGGCAGTCAAGAATCTCAGCTGGAAACAGAGCCAAGGTCCTGGGCCTCAGATTGTTCTGGATGCCAGAACAGGATACTCGTAATCCCCCTACTGGAAGTGGGCTGATATGTGTTTTATTTTCTGAGACGCCCAAGTGAAGGCCCAGTAGAGGATAAATGTCTCTCTCCTGGAATGGTTCCTTGGAGAGTTACAGATTTCCAACTAAGAACCCCAGATAACCCTCCAACAGGAGAGAAGGCTGTAATTTGAGAGTTCCCTTCTCTGAACCTCCTGCCTGCTCTCCAGACAAGAGTGGTCAAGGGGACTACAGGGTTGGATGAGGGCAGAATGTCTCTAGAATCTTGACCAAGTATCTCCCTATTATTCGATTGCGGTAAGTTGTTTGTCTATAAAGTCCTGGTAGAGAACTGGAAGCCTTGTCTTACTTGCTGGCTGGTACTGTGACATTAACTGCAGGTTCCCTTCCGACAAAGCCAAAGCCAGATTTTTAAATTAATAATAACATTTATTGTTCGTTTTCTCTGATTACAAAAGTAATAGATGTTCATTGTAACCATAATCCCACCCACTTGAGATAAATGCTGCCAACATTTTAGTAGTCTTTTTTTTTGTATGCACATAATAGCTACCATTTTTCCAAAGCTAACACTGTGCCAGGCACTGCACTAAACTTTTAATAAACAAGATCCCATTTAACCCTGAATACCCTACGAGGTGGACACCAGTATATCCCGTTTTCAGGAGAGGAAACTGAGTCTCCCACAGTTCATTCATAAACCCAGTGTGTGATAGAGCTGAGATATGAACCCAACTGGGTGTGTGTGTATACACATAGTACACGGAAACAGATAGTCCTATCATATGTAATGAGTTTCAGATGACATTCTGCCCGCATCCAGATGCCAGATGCAAGCGTTTATGAAGATCAAAGCATTAGTGGAGAAAAAAGAAAACTGAGGTATTAGATGGAGACATTTTTGAGGTTCTTGCAAAACTCTGACTTGAAATGTAAGAGCAAATTGCTTTATGATTGCTGGAATTTAGTTAAGAATGTACAATGTCACCAGGAACTACATACTAATGACTTCAAGGTCATTTCTATCCCAGAAACTTCACTGATGGCTTGATGTGGAAGCTGCCAACTGTCTCCTGGCCACAGGGAGGGTAGAGATTGGCCAGAAACCTGGCCATCCCAACACTGAGGTCCTGAATCCATAAGTGAGGACTCTTGGGTTCAGCCTTTGGCCTTGACCTTTTGCCCACCTTCTGGCAGAAATACAGAAATGTAGGGAGAGTCACACAAGAGGCAGTGGCCAGAACATTGCAGCTCCATATCCATATCCACCCTGTCCTCCAGGCGGGGGTTCAAAGAGTCTGAAACCCCTTCACTTTCAGGCATCCATCTGAGAGGTAGCCAGGGGCCCAAGAGGTCTATCACCCAGAGGGAAGTAAAGAGGGGGGAATAACACGGATTGTGTTTGATCTGATTCTCACAGTAACCTAGAGTAAAGCACCACATAAGATTCACATGATTTTCCAGTTTTAGTGATTTAACTTGAGATCTGATCACCTCCAGGCCTTTGCAATGCTGTTCTCCCTGCCCAGAAAGCCTCTCTCCTTCCCCTTCTCCCACCTGCCTCCACCCACATTTACCTGGCTGACTCCTGCTTGTTCTTCAAGTCCTTCAAGCTTAGAGGTCATGCTCCTTGACCCTCCCAGGCACCATTTCTCCCTCCCCCCCACACACCCCCACACTGGATTATAATGGCCTCTCCTGTCTACACCAATAGCTCTTGGAGGGCAGGGCACTTTCCTGACTTGATCGCAAGGAAATCCTCTGCAAGTGCCCAGTATCATGTAAGTTTCCATTGACTAAATAAATAGATCATGTATAATTCAGAGGGGGAAGAACAGGTACATTAAAGCATATCCAAACAGACTTTCTTCTTCTTCTTTTTTTTTTAAGATTTTATTTTATTTATTTGAGAGAGAGAGAGAGAGAGAGAGAGAGAGAGAGCATGAGCAGTGGGGAGGGGCAGAGGGAGAGGGAGAAGCAGACTCCATGCTGAGCAGGGAGCTCGCCACGGGGCTCAATCCCAGGACCCTGAGATCATGACCTGAGCTGACGCAGACGCTTAACCAACTGAGCCACCCAGGAGCCCCCAAACAGACTTTCTTCTTGTGTAAGTTAGTGATAATTCTTATCAAAAGGAGGTAAGAAACAGATCCTTAAGTAATTATTTCAGGGGCGCCTGGGTGGCTCAGTCGTTGAGCGTCTGCCTTCAGCTCAGGTCATGATCCCAGGGTCCTGGGATCGAGCCTCTCATCGGGCTCCCTGCTTGGCGGGAAGCCTGCTTCTCTCTCCCCCACTCCCCCTGCTTGTGTTCCCTCTCTCGCTGTGTCTCTCTCTGTCAGATAAATAAATATATTTTTTTTAAAAGCAATTATTTCAAATGTGGTCAGTAAGGAGCACCCTGCAGTCGTGAAAACTATATATCCTTGCACGACTCTGGGTAACAGTTTCTTGAAGTTGGAGAGCAACATTCTGGGGGTAAGAGTCGAATGTTAAGTAATCCTGACTCAATTAGCCACTGTTTTGAATCCACTACTGCAGTACTCCTGAAATAGTTGATTATGGACAGTGCAGAAAGAGCTGGGGAGGATCCCATGGAGGGAATAGGCAGGATTCTGAACTCAGCCCTGCAAGCGTGCGTTTGACTCCCAGCTGCAGAACTTGGCAGCTAAACCTCTGAGTGTATTGGGGGTGGGAAGGAAGGAGGGGCATTGGCTCTTGGCTCACACCTGCCAGTTTTCAGGAAACCACGCTCTGCAGTGGACATGAAGGGGTGGGATCTCAGACAACCCTTGGCTCGTCTGTAAGTTCCTGTCATTCTCATCTGCTACACACTGCGCTCTTCCAAGTGCTAGGTGCTCAACAGTTAAATGAACAAAAGATACCTTTCTCTCTCCTCTCCCTTCCCTCTGTGCCTTCCCCATCCCTGCCCAAGGGTGCCTGCCTCCTTTCTAAAAGCTGTATTAACAGGGGAAACAGTTCTCCTATTTACAAAGGTCTCTTCAGGGAACCAAAAAACCCTCCCCTCAAAAAAACCACCTTGCCCTAAAATCTCTAGACAGTGACTACCTTTCGGCATTTGCCAGGAAGATTGGACTCAGCAGTGCTTCCCCAGGCTTTCAGGTGAGGGAAACCTGACATCTCTTCATGACCTGAGAAAGAATTTGGCAGATGGAGCTTCTAGCACTCCTGGGTAGCAAGCAAACAGAGGGGTTTTTTTCCCCCCTGTTATCATTTCCTGTAGTCTAAAAAATGAGAGGAATGCAAACACTGGGAAGATACGTACTCAGGCACCAGGTAATAAAAAGATTTAGTAAGAATGGCCATGGGACATAAGCCCTACCCCTGCCCCTCCTCCCTGAGTCAGAGCGTCCCCCCAGCCTGCCATCCAGAAGCCGCCTGGGCTCCTTCACCCAAACGCTCCCTCCCCGGCTTCACTTCTTACTCCTAAATCATTCTATCTCCTTGTTCTAAGCCAAGGCATGCATTATTAACATCATTCCCACTTTTTTTCAACTTCCCCATTCATTTCTACCCATCTGCTG